TGGAAAGGGTGTGGTCCCTCCAGACAGAGGCCTGAGCAGGAAAGCTCACTGCTGGAGGGGGTGGATCCCAGAGGTGTCCAATGGCTGGGTGGGCAGGGAGGCCACAGTTGGGCCAGGAACCAGGGGTATGACAGAGTGAGGGGCCTGGGAGAGAGGGACAGCATAGTGTGAAGGATCCAAGGGAGAGGCAAGGAGGAACAGAGGAAAGCAGTGGAGAGAGGTGGGAGGGGATGAGGCCAAGGTGCAGGAGGAGGAACTTGGCCTTGGGTATTACAGCTGTTCTGCATCCACTAAGACCTCCTCCCCTCGGTCCATCCCCTGGTGCCCAAGGCCTTGTCTTATACCTTGGCCAGCAGCTCCAGTGCCCACCTCAGGAAAACCAGCCACATTTCTGCCCAGCCCTCAAAGGCCTCAAGCTCCTGGCTCCAGCTTTGCCTCCGCAGTGGGGCCTAGGGTTCTGTGTACTTAAAGGAGACCCACTAGCCCTCTTGGGGCCCCAGTGAGGCTCCAGGGGAGACTTGGGAGTGGGGGACACATCTGTGGAAGGGCTTTATAAACTGAAAAGCTCCAAATCTGTGTAAGGAAGGTGTGTCTTGTTTAAATAACATGGTTTTAGAAAAGCAGTTTCTCCTTCAATTCTCCCAACAACCCTCTGAAGTAGTATCACTGCCCCCATTATACAGAGGAGGAAACTGAGACTCAGAGGGCAGCAGCCTGACCATTCGCCATGGCTGGTGAAGGGCTGAGCTGGGAATAAACTGGGGCTTTGTGACAAGCTCTTATCACCCTGTAGGCTCCTTAATGAGCAGAGAGGTATGTCTCACATGAAGTCCCAGTGGCTCCTGAAACCAGGAGAAGCCTGGTTTGCTCCCCCTGGAACAAGCTCCTTCAGGTCTGCCCCTCTCCATGCTCTAGACCAGTCTATTCCACATCTGTACTGCCCAATAAGGGAGTCACACCACTTGTGGCCAGGGAGCGCCTGAAATGTGGCTGGTTCACCTGAAGAGCAGGATTAAATTAATTTTGTCTAATTTAAATTTAAACAGTCACATGTAATTGGACGTCACGGCTCTAGAGGGACCTCATTTGGGGGAATGGTAGAGAACAAACAAAACACAAAGTAGCGCCATGTTCCTGGATGAGAACACTCAATATTGTCAAGGTGGCATGTTTCCTCAAGTTAATCTCTGAGCTGAAAGAAATGCCAATGAGAAGTCCAAAAGGATTTTGCATGGCTCTTAATGAGCTGAGCTATTCTTTATGTGAAAGAATAACTATATAAGAATAGACAATTTTAAAAAAGAACAAAAGAAGAGTTCTTGCCCTAATAATAAAGCATATCATAAAACTATAGTAGTTAAAACAGCCTGGTGGTAGCAGAGGAATACATAAACAAATTAACTGACCACTAGTGTGAAGCTTCACAAGGATGGGATCTTTATTCTGCTCATTGATACATTCCAGGCCCCTAAAACCGGGCCTGGCATGAAGTAGGTGTTCAATAAGTATTTGTTGACTGAAAGAATCAAACATGGATCCATGTTCATGTGGAATTAGATGGCATCTCAAGTCAGTGGAGAAAGGAGAGATTACTCAATAAATAGTTTAGAGACAATTGGCTAATTCATATACAAAAATAAAACTTAGGCCCCCACACCTTGCAACATTCTCTAAAATCACCAGATTAAAGTCCTAGAATGCACACAACTGTAGAAGTATCAAATGAGATATAAAAAATGACATTTATGACTGTATAAAAAAACTATGTTTATGACTTGGGGCATAACTGGCAGAGTTTTAAAATAAAACACAAAAAGCCAAAGTAATAAAAAAGGGACATATTGACAATTTGATTAATTAAAATGAAAAACTTCTGTTAGACTAGAGAACATAAACAAGGTTAAAAGACAAGTGACATATACTAAAAAATCACTGAATTGTACACTTTTAAAGTATAAATGGTGAATTTTATGGTATGTGAATTATATCTCAAAAAAAAAAAAAAAGATAAGCAAAGGACCAGAAGAAAATATTTGCAATTACAAAGAATTAGTATCCACAATATATAAAGAACTCCTAGTAAGTCAAAATGATAATGAACCCAACAGAAAAACAGGCAAAGAATATGAAAAGGCATTTTACAGAAGACAAAACCCAAATGGCTGGAAGACACACGTAAAGATGCTCAACCTTATGAGTAAGCAGCAAAAGGCAAATTAAAACAGAGACACTGTTTTTACCCATTGGTTGGGAGAAAAATATAAAACTGATTGTTGACAAGTATGGGGGAGAAACAGGGACTCTCAAATTCAGCGGCAGAGAGAGGAAATTGGTACAGCCCCCCTTTAAAGAGTAATCTGGCAGTTGCATTTCAATTAAAAACATGCTTACCTAAGAGCCAACAATCCCACTTCTAGCTACCTTCCTTAGAGGCTCTCTTGGGAATGTGTGTAAGGAGGTATATCCTTGTTCACTGAGCACCACTGGTAATCGTGAAAAAGTGGAAGCAACTGGCCAAGCCAAATAACCTGTGGAATAACCACACCATAGACCACATCATGGACTGCTACACAGCAGCAAACAGGAATAAAGTGGTTCTATGTGCACTGACAGGAATGATCTCCAAGATGCACTGCTGAGTGGAAGCAGCAAACTGCACAGTGATATCACAGTAAGATAATGCCGCATAACCCCATCCCTCGAATACTGCCAGCATGAATCATAATAATAGCAGCTGACACTCATCTAGGGCTTACTATGTGCCCGGTACTGTTCTGAGCACTTTCCACATATCAACTGAGGTCGTCCTCACAACCCTGTGAGGGAGATGCTATTAGCATCATTCCTGTTTTACAGGTGAGGACACTGTGACACAGGAGGCTAAATAAACTGCTCAAGGACATACAGATAGGAAGTGCTGGAGCCAGAACTTAACCCAGGCAGTCTAGCCCCAGAGTTGTTTTCTTAACCATGACTACCTATATTTCCTAAGTGTATACACATATCTACCGGTAACTGCACAGTAAAAAAAGATCTGGAAGGACTGACTCCAAAATGACAAGAGTCAAAGGGGATGCTATCCTTAACCATAAGGCTTTAATTGTCTACGGAGAATGCATTCATGTATCACGAATGTAATTAAAAATTAACAAAAGCAGGAAGAATCTACAGAGACCAATGCCGGTGTGTGGAGGGAGAGTCTTTCCTGGCCTTCTGAGCCTGAGGAGGCCCCAGAGAGACTCCACCCGTTCCCACTGCTGGCCTGCCTGTCTACTCTGCTCTTACACCAGGACAAACTATCTGCCAGGTATATGGGTTACCTTGGGGACTGGGGGAACCTCCCAGTTATCCCAGCCTCCACCAAGAGAGCATGGGCCTGGGTCTGACCCTGAGGGGCTACACGTGATCTTGGAGCTTGACTGTGCCCGGAAACAGGTAGGGGAGCCTTTTGGAACACGGTCCTCCACAGTCCAGCTTGCTGCTCTGGCCAGTGCTCACTCAGTAGCGGGGTGGTCCTTACGTGTAGCAGGTCACTGGAAAATGGGAATCTTAGGAAAATCACCCTGGCAGATGTGAGAGGACCCAGACTCTGCCAGTTCTAGGCTGAGCGAGGACCAATAACCCATAGCCTCCTGGCTGTCCCAGTGTGAATGTGCCCTTCTCTACTCCCACCTCGGGGACAGGCCTCTCTGATACCCCTGACAGTGATGGTAACAAGGGTCTTGGCAGTCCCCCACATTGCTACAGCTCTAGGCAAGGAGGAAGTGGAGAGGGTTGGCCTTGGGTGACCCAGGAGCAGCTCAGCAGAGGCCAGGACCCACTGTATCTCTTATCACCCCAGCCTAGCCTTCTGGGAAAACTACTGCCTGCCTCTGGTTCCTAGGACACTTGTCGGTAACCACCAGGCAGGCTGGCTGCATTTCTTCCATGTCCACAACCCCTGGAGAAGTCAGCACCAGGCATGTGATGACCCCAAATCTTGGAGGCCCATGGAGGGAAATTAGGTGAGCGCTCAGGCTCAGGTTTATCAAGAGCCTGACAGCCTCCCCTCCGAGGGAGTGCTCCACCCTCCTCCCCTTCCTCTTGCTATTTCAGGCCATGCTAAGAATAGTCTGCTTTAAATACCTGGCTCCCTCATTAGATCTGCTCATAGGACGCCTGATAGCACTTTTCCAGAACCCCCAGTGGGTAGCAGCCACTCCGGGGACCCAATTCACATCTTCCCTCAAAGACCTCATGGCTTTCTGAGACTTCAGCTGGCAGCACGCTGATCTCTACCTCTTCCTTAGGTGTCTCTGAGTCCAGCCTACATCTGCCATCCTGACTCTGCCACTCCCTCACGCTCCTCATCAGCTGTGGCGTAAAATCTCAACTCTTGAGCCTGACACCCAAGGTCGGGCATAGCTCGGCCCAACACACTGCTCTGGCCTTCAAATAGCATGTGTCCTGAGCACTCCTTGTGTGCTGGAACATACCACAGAAGGCCCCAAACTTATGGCACTGATACACTTCTCTCACATAGCTTTATCATGGAAAAGTCCCCTTCCTGCCCCCGCTTAACCTGTTAGCATGTGCTATCCTGATGACAGTGCCCCTTGGAGGGGACTGGCCCTGGGGGCAGGGAGCTGGGCCTTTGCTCACAGGGCTCCAATAGCCCCTAACAATAGCACTGGCCATCCTAATAGCACAACCACCATTACTCTGAGCCAGGCCCCGCAGTAAGCACTGTTCATGCAATGCTGCACCCCACCCTCTCATGTGCTCATTTCTAATCTCTCAGTGTGAACACCTCAATCTCAGCACAGAGCACATGAGGATGAAATGAAGGTGAGTTCGTTCCTGCTTGCCCTGCTGAGGTCCACTGGGTGCTATGACCACCTGCCTTATTCCTCCTCCAGCTCCTGCGTTCTGGCAGGGCAAGCATCAGCATAGCCACTTGGCCTCTGTGAAAGACAGCAGTGGTCAGCTGTGGCGGGTGGGTGAGCAGACGGGGTACTCACTTGTTGAAGAGGTTCAGGCCAATGCGGTAGTGTCTCTTGCGGATGACGTCATTGCTGAAGGCCGGCGAGTCCCAGCTGTTGCGGGTCTCTTTGTGGTAGGTCTGCTTGCTGAGCGTCTGCTCCCGCAGGCTGTCGCGGGACGATGACTCGGAGCTGCAGTTGATGGTGTCGTTGGAATTGGATGTGCTGTTGATGCTGTCGTTGTCCCCATCCGAGTAGTCCGACTCAGACTTGCTCTGCCTGTTGGCTGAGCCATTGATGGCCAGATGGCTGTCAAGGGGCCTGGGGGGCCGGGGTCGCAACTCGGGCTCCTCCCGGGGGAGGCCCTTGGGGGGGCCACCGTGGGGGCCGTGCTTGGGGCTGCCCTCCTGTCCGCCGAGGCTGCGCTCATAGGCCCTCTGCCTCTTGAGTGAGCCGCGGTCCGAGCGGTCGCTGAGGTCCACGGAACTATCGCTAGGCGGCTCGATGGTCAACAGCGGCAGGTGCTCCCCCCGCAGCCGCTGCTCCGGCCGCTCCAGAGAAGGGGTGCTCCGGCAGCTTGTGTCTGTGTCCCCCTTGTCGTCCTTATGACCCAGGGCCCAGTAGTCCTGGGATGAGCCCCCGGCCCGAAGCCGCAGGTCCGACTCGGTGCTGGATGGCCGCTCCCCTACCTGTGAGAGGGGCAGAGGTGGCGAGAGCTCCTCCTCGTCAATGTACAGGGTGACGTCACTGTATGAGGCAGTCATCTCGTCCAGCTTGTGGTGGTCCATGCCGTGCAGGGTTGGCTTCGGCTCGGTGTCCCGGGCCCGTGCTGCATCTGAAGCCGGTGCCTCCTCAGCATGTAGGCTGCGGCAGTTGAGGGCGTCGTCGATGGACTCTGCCAGCGACTTCACCTGCCGGGAGAAGGCGTCCTCCAGCTCTGTGATGGCATCCGCAAAGTCACTGGAGGTGGCTGGGGACTTGATGGCAGCTGGCTTACCAAGGTCACCACACTCAGACGGAACTAGGACACCCAACTGGGAGCCGTCATTGGTCACCGAGACCTGCTTTCCCTCGAAGTAGGAGCTGTGCACTTTCTCAGGCCCCTCAAAGGAGAACTGCATCCTCATGTTGGACAGCACAATGCGGCGCGACATGCGGTTCTCTGACATGGAGCTGCGCAGGCGCTCGAAGTTCTTGTTCATCTGGTACTGGCGGAATGCGGTCTGGATGGTGCGGGCCGCATGGCGGGTCACGAGGCGCCCCCCATACTTACGTTCTAGCATCTCCACCTGGTGGGGGAACGAAAGGAGAATGAGGGCAGTGCCGCAGGCTGGCATAGCACAATATCTACCAATGCTCGTTCCTGCTCCCTGACCCCATGGTGACACCATCTGGGGAGGTCTCAACATGCCCCAAAGAAATAAGGGCAATAAGATTGAGAAACACTGTGTTAAGGTACTAAAAGTACAATCAACCCTTGTTATTTGTGGATTCTATATTTGTGAATTCACCTACGGCTAAAAATTCTCGTGATGCTTTCGTGGTCCTTCTGACAGGTACATGCGCACAGCAGTGAACAATTTCTAGCCAAGGTGGAACAAAGCTGGTTTGGTATTCACTAATCCAGTATTTGCGGAATTTTATGGAACATAAGTACCACAAATAACGACAACTGACTGCATCTTCCCTACAAGGACTTCTCACTTCTTTGGCCCTGGAAGCCTCTGGCCACGGCACTTGTTGTTTAACGGAAAACTTTTTTGGAGGTGTTAGAAGAGGTAAGGGCAGCCCCTTCAGAGGCAAGGAGGCTGAGGATCATGCAGGTTAAGAGACTTGCTGAAGACTTCCACAAGTTCCTAGGGCACTGAGGACTGGCCATGCTTCCAGACTTCTTTCCCATCTATTGCGTAAGTACACCTACTCCTCACTTAACGACTATCTCATTATGCAACATTTCGCATTTATGACAATACTAAAAAATCTATTATCCGACTATTTGGCACATTAACAACCTATATCTGGCAGTAATAAACGCCAAGGTGCAAGGCGAGAGCAACGCTGGCTGTGATGGTTAAGGTTATGTGTCAGCTTGGCTGGGCCATGATTCTCAGTGGTTTGGCAGTTATGTAATGATGCAATTTTTCACTTAACGCTGATTTTTGCATAACGACCTGGTCTCCAGAACCTAACCATGTCGGTAAGTGAGGAATGGGTGTAGTGCAGCCCTTGGTAGCCAGGTGCTGGGGCTCTAATCCTGGCTCCACCCCTTGTTATGCATGTGACCCTGGATGAGCCCAAGAACCTGGCAGTTCCTCAGTTTCCTCATCTGTAAAATAGGGATAATACTGACGGGCCAGATGCAAGGCACTTAGAATGTGCCAAGCACAGTGGTAGCTAGGACAGAAGACTCACAACTGCTTTCCCAGAAGATGTTTACAGTTTGTAAAGCCCTCAGCCCCCCCACTGTACAGACAGGGAAGCTGAGGACTAGAGAATAGACCCAACACACATGCACACATGCATGTACGCGCACACGCACGCACGCACGACTCCAGACTCCAGAGGCAGCTCTCCCTCTCCCACCACAGGGTGATGGTCTTCTCTGTGAGTTTGGGAGACAGAGTGGAGAGCTAGCATTCTGAGACGGCAAAGCTGCCACCAGGGGAGGGAAAGACTGGGCAAGCTCTCTGTCTCTGTCTGGCATAGTGTCTCCCAGGGTGATGCATGGGCTCTGGAGTTCTGAGACCACCAAGACTGAGGGCAGCCTGAGGGGTGCTCCCTGTGCCTTGTTCCTGAGTGAAAACTAAACACACCTCTGCAACTGGAGCCAGCTCTGAGGGAGTCGAAGAAAAGCCAAGGTAAGGCATTGGCTTCTCCAACAAGCCACACCTCTCTCTGGCTGCATGGGCACAGCAGGCACCTGAAGTGCCCAACGGCAAGCAGAGAGAAAGGACCTGGGTCCTCAGGAGTCTAGGTCCAACCTGCCTGCTATATGCCAAGTATCACACCGAGTCTGGTGGTGGAGAGACTGGCTTCCTGCCCTCAAGAAACTAAGAGTTTGTCAGGGGGAACACAAAGACAGACACAAACAAGCAACTGAAATAAAAGCCTGGGCCTGAATCAGGAGGACAGAGTAACTTGGAAAGAGCAGGGCCTGAGCCTCTCACCTCCAGCTGGGTAGCTGAATAAGGGACTTCACATTTCTGCTCATCTCTCTGGAGAGCGAGTTGGCATGTCACCTGCATCTGGACAAGAGTGTGCCTAGCTCCAAGAAGCTAACCCATCTCAAGGACACCAATAAAACACAGGCCCAGGAGCACAGGCAGGGGCTCCTAGCTCCCCAAACACTGCATCAGCTCTCCTGCACCCCACAGGAGAGGAAACGCAGGCTGGGCAGGGCATCTCTTTGCAGAAGAGAATAGCAGGGGGTGGGGGTTCAAAATGACTTTTCAAAGACCAGCCAGGCCCAGAGTCGGCCAGGGTGGTTCTGTTTTTCCCTCGCCCTGAAGTTACTGAACACCATCCAGAGTGATGACCTCACTTCCACATCTGTAAGTAAGCAGAGAGTTTCTATTTTTTGAGTTGCCACTGAAGCTCTGAAAACCCACACAACTGATAAGGGGCCCAAGGCTGAGCTCTGGTAAGCCCTTTCTTCTCTCCCTCTTTTCTGCCTGCAAAGGCCTGTGGTCCTTGGCCCCTTATGCTAGCTCTGGGTGGGGACATCACAAATGCCAGGGCCATCAGCTACGGCCCAGAGTTCACTCCAGGGCCTTTCTCCCCAGTTAGCTTTGGACCTTGCAAACCAGGCAATGACCCTGTTTGCCTGAGACCCTCTCTCCAAGTCATGTGGTAGGGGAGAGGGGGGCTTCCAGTAGGCACAAGTGGGCTCTATGTTTACCCACCATGGCCCCTCTTCGTCCCTCCTGCCCCACTCCCCTGAGAGGATACATGCTGACTGGAGCTCGCTCTTATTTATCCCCAAACTCACTGTGGCTGTTCTTTTGGGGCTGGTACTCACCCAAGGCCCAGTTCAAAACTTTATTGGGACCCAGAGGAGGGAATTAAATTAACATCTGCTCACCTGCTGTGTGTGCCAGGAACTGCAACCCTCACTTAATGCCCACAACAATTTCTCATCTCAAGAGGGTAACTATCACCACATCACAGGTGAGGGCCAGTGAGGTAAAGGGACTTGCCCAGCCAAACCCCTCACTGGGGCTTTCCCGCCAGGCCACCTCACTGCCCCTTTAAAGGAACACTTCTGAATGGAGAAGATGAGGAACCAAGAGGAACTCTCTGGGACAAGGTGCCTGATTGGTCTTGCAGATCTCCTGTCCTCACCGACAACAGGAAGCCACCAGAAAGAGCTGAGGGCCACAGGTCAGAAGGAAAACACATGTGACTTCCTGTGTGGCTCCTTTCACTAAAATGGGACTTCAAAGAATCATGCACCGTGGTTTTACCTGACAACTCCCATGCAATCTATTCTTACTTCTGCCTGGACTTCCAGGAGCTCAGGGGCCTGGGACACCACTTCCACCCTCTTCTTATCTACCACCTCTTCCGTGTCGTCTGTCTCTCACGCAGGCCAAGCTCACTCTAGCCTCAGGGCCTTTGCAACTGCTGTCGCCTCTTCTTGGAGCACCCATTCCTCAAGCACCCCTTCTAATACCACCTTAAAGAGGTCTTCCTGACCTTCATCCAGTGTTGTTACCGCCTACAGTCATTCTATTTCCTTCCACTCTGGAGCTGAGATCACTTTTTGGAATTATATCATTTCTTTACTGCTAACTTGTTTGTGGTCTATCTGCTGCTGCACGATGTCAGCTCAAGGGAGCAGGGGCCTCATTTGGTTCACTGCTGACTCCTCAGCACCCAGTACAGGGTCTGGCACGTGGTGGGCATTCAGCTAATGTGCACAGAATGAAATGAACAGCTGTAGCCACATTAAGCCCATATTAAGCATATAATCATCTCCACAGGCCTCTATTAAGTCTAACCTTTCTCATTCTTATTTTAGCGGCCCTGCTGCAGACGTCTTTTACTATAAACTGTTCTGATTCACTTGGATCTGGGTACAACTGATAAATGCAGCAGAGGCTGTTCTCCCCTGCCATCGGCCTGGCCGTGGGGTCAAATGCCATGGGGTGAAGGGGACTCTCTTCCTCCACAGCCTGACAAGGGCTATGTCGTTGGGCTCTGGCCCCTTGCTGGCCCCCATCAGTCAGAGCTGAGGCAAGTAGGGCTGTCCAAAGTCTCAGGGCAGCATCGTGAGCAGGGTGTGGAGGGAGACTCCTTGTCAGGAGACAGACTCACCCCAGGCAACACCCCCACTAGTCTCCAAAGGAATTGAGGGCCACATTAGGCCCAGACCTCTGTTCCCTGAAGGACAAAAAGAAAGATTAAGGGGCAAACAGAGGGCAGGCCCGGCACAGGGTAGACATGGGCAGGAGTGAGGGGTGAGGAGACTCCTGCCACATAGGCTGCTGGGGCCGCACGGGGCAGAGGTGGCCACCCAGCATTTAGAAAGAGACTACCCAGAGCTGGTGAAAATCTGACAGACATGCGGGGCCCTGGAGACTTGTAGAGCTGCTTCCTGGCAGCCCAGGGCCTCTCCTGTGGCCTGAACTCTCAGCCAGAGAGCCTCACACAGCCTGAGACATGACTAAGTGACCTGTTCACCCATCTGTTCATTCACACACAAGTCCACCTTCTCATTCACAGTAACGTGCCTGCTAGGTGCCTGACTATGAGGGACTCAGAGTGAGTTCTCTCTGCCTCCTCCGGGACTTCTCCTTCCCTCTGCCACCTCTACCCACAACTGCAGCACGAACAGGACTTTTCTCTGTCTCCTCAACTCCTGATCCTTCCTTGAGCCCAGCCAAACACCCCAGCTGCACACCCTCCTTGCTCTGCCACAGAGGGGCCAAGGCCCTGGAGGAGAAAGGCAGGAGCTAGAAGCACTTGCCAGGGCTTAAGCACCCCTTCAGTGAGGCTGATGCCCACTGGAACATGGAGTTGTAAACCTGAGGGGATATAATAAGCAACCTCACCTCTAGGGCTGAGCACAGGCTTGGCTTTTTAAAGCTTGTGCTATTTATGATGTAAACTGACCCCCCTTCCCTCTTTCCCTCCCTCCCACTGGGCTCCCTCACTCAGACTCGCGTTCTACCCAACGTTCAGTCCTCGGCTGGAACCACAGACCCTCCACAGCCACGTGACCTGGGTATTCTTGTGGCATTATGACACCCCCCTCAGCCCCCAGACCCTGGCCACAAGGGCTCTGAGAACCAGTGCAGAGGCAAAAACTTCATTTGAGAGGGACTCTGACCAAGTGCCCAGGAAGGAATGTCAAAAAGCCGAGTGCATTTCAGTTGGGCGGGCTGGAGCAAGAGGCTCCCGGGAGGAGCAAGAGGTAGAGCTCATCTGAGGCAAAGGCCACATTCTTAGCAAATACTCACATAACTCACAGTCCAGTCTGTCAGGGAGGGTGAAAGCCCAAAGGTGTCTGAGAGCTGCCTGGGCTGGTGATGGACCAGGCCTGGCTCCTCACACGGCCATGCACCACTCCCCAGGAAGACACACGCAGCCGAGGGGCCGGGCCCTGCCTACCTGCTTGTCCTGCAGGTCCGAGGAGAGCTCATAGCTCTCAGAGAGTGACCGTGAACGCTTGATGGCCTCTTCCTCGGCCTGCTTGCGCAGGATGGAGGTCGAGTGCTGCAGCTTGGGCCTCCGTGTGCGCTGCTGCTGCCCCGGTGGCCCCGAGTACAGCCCATAGGCCCCCAGTGACGTGTGCTCGTAGTGGTCAGGGCTCAGGCTGGCGCCAGGCACCAAGGGGCCCTGGTGGTAGGCTGAGGGGCTGTCCAGCGACGTGCCGGTCTCGCTGCTGGGTGCCTCGCCCTCAACGCTGCAGAGGAGAGAGAGGCAGGAACTGTGAGTGGGAAACCTGAGTCCAGGGTTCAGAGGGTATGGGTGGCGGGAGGGGGTAGCCATCATGAGGCAGCCTCACACCTTCCTTGACAGCTGGACAACTCCAGTCTCCCTGCTTCTGCCCTCACTCTCCCTCACTGATGCTCACACACAGCTACAGGGACCCAGTACCCTTGTAAGGTTCCCACCTCACTCAGACTCACTTCCCTCTGCAGAACAGACCACATTCTAACATCGACCTGTCTTATTTACAGTGCTTATTTTCAGTTTCCAACACAAGAATGTCAGCTCCCCAAGGACAAGGCCTTCTGTCCCCTGTTCTCTGATGCATCCCCAGCACCCAGGACAGTGCCTGTACATGCGGGCGTGCAGTAGGTATTTGCTGGCTAACTGAACGGACCCTAGCACCTTCTTTCCTTCACCCACACTGCTGGATTAAGTACAGCACTGAGTTGTTACTTTTTCTTCCCTTACAGTAATTAACAAAAGTGCATCTTTACTGCACACTTCCTTGGGGCCAGGCACTGTGTGGTTGCTGTACATGTTTCACTAAATCTTAAAACCAATCTCGGAAGGAAGCATTATTGACCTCTCTGCAGGCGAGGAAACTGAGGCCCATAAAGTGGTGAGACTTGTCCAAGCTCACCCAAGTCATAAGTAGGAGAGTCAGGATTACAGCCCAAGGTGGTAGGACTCCCATGACGATGTTCGCATTCCACCTCACCAGCCCTCGTCCCATAACCCACCCCATACAACATCCCTCTCAGCACCTCCAGATATCAAAGAGGAGCAGGGCCAACAGGCAGGGAGGAGAGGGACTGGCTGCCTTACTCATCCCAAACTCATGAACTTAGACAAACCTTTTCATTCACAGACTGGTTTCCACTGCAGTTTTTCAGTATAGGACAACAGGGAAGGGAGGAATTTATGCAGTGAGCTCCTAGCATGACTTCTGGTAGCATCTCTAGTTGCCCTGCGGTTTCCCTGTCCCTGTACAATTTCCCTTAGCCTCAGGGCTGGAAGGAGCTTTAAAAACTCCCTGATTCCTGAGGCCACAGCAGAGAGAGAAGGGAAGGCAGGCCCCTCCTAGACTGCAGTCCTTCAATAGTCCCTACCTTCAGAACCAAGTGGGAATGCCTTGCATCCAACAGCCTGGGCCAACTTGTCCACCCTAGCCCAGTCCCGCTTCTATTCCTGTCACTTGTCACTGTGCCAGCCAGGCCCCACTGCCAAGGTCAGAGTGTGGAAGTGTTCATCAACTCCTGGGCAGCCCCCTCCCCTGAGAAGCCTGGAGTGGGGGGATAGGGAAGGAAGCTGGAGCAGAAGAGGCCAGGACAATGCCAGCTGACCAACGCCCAACAGCAAGTAGCCTGTCCTTTGATTCTAATTCCACCCTGAGCTGGGCTAAGGCTGCAAATCTCAGCACTGGCTTTCCAGCTTCTGGTTTAAGAATAGGACAGGACTTCCATTCCTACCACCGGCTCTGGCCTCTGGAGACAAGCAGTGGGACTCCTGTGATGACCAACATCCAATCCCATTCACCAGGGGTGAAGTTGTGACAAAGGTTCTTCTTTGGGGAAGAGACCCTGTTCTTTGCCTGTCTCTGCCACAAACTGGCTGTGGATCAGAGTGGGTCAAGGCCTCAGTTCTGGTAAAACAAGAGGATTAAACTAGATGCCATCAAGGTATACAGGAACATCACCCTTCAGAAGAGTCACCTAGCTCCCTTCCCCTGCACTCCCCATCCACCCACCCAGCAGCTTCCTTTGACATACTGGGGAAGAGGAAGGAAGCCAGTGAGGCTGGAAGAGACTGAACAGGGGAGGAGGAGCAGAGATGAGGTCAGACCAGGTGTATGTGTGGTATGGGGGGTTAAGCAGATCTTACATTTCTCCCATTCTTTTGTGAAGCTTTGGACAGCGTATCACAATAAAGTCAGTGCCTTGAAACATGTCTGCTGTATGAAAAGCTGACTGAATTCTTGTGGTGGGGTTTCGGGAGATCCTCAACATCCCAGGTCCTTGCTTTGTTCTACCCCACCGCAGCTCCTCCCTGCTCCCCCTGTCCAAACCCCTCTTTGCAGCCTGTTAGCACTCCACAAGGAAGTGTTTCCAAACACACATCCCCCAAAGTGGAAATGTTTTAGTCAGGAGCCAAATCTGTCCAAGCAAGAGTCTGACAGGAAACAAGATCTCATCGTTGAAGAGACGCAGCCAGGGCTCCACTTACAAGAAGAGAATTTAAAATAGGATCGTAACCCTGAGTTTGCAGAAACAGAGTGACTGATGAGTAGTTTCCCTCCAGGCTCCTGGACGGGTGTCAAGCATTCTGCTTCTGTGCTGTCAGGTGGCTCAGCCAGACGGTGGTGGCTGGGCTCACCCCAATGCCCCAGCGAGCCCAGAATAAGTGAACGATCTCTATATCTCACATCTGCAAGGGATCTGATCCTCCACCAAGCCCTTTCTTATCTGGCCTCAAAACCACCATGATCAGAGGTGTGGGCTGGGCTGCTGTGAATCCAAGGGGGTGTTCTTATTCCCAGCCAGCACAGTGTGGGGCCAAGGGGCTGGGGGAAGAGGAGAAGGTAGCATCCACAGAACCCCAAGGCTGCGTTTTGCTCTGAAGCAGGGAAGGGCTGGGAGAGGTCACGGCACTCTGGAGGCCCAAATGGTTGGGGTCAGCGGCAGGACATTGAAGGGGGGCATTATCCGCTGGGGAGGGAGGCTCTGGGCACAAGGGGAGGGGCACTCTTGGAGGGATATGATTGGGGAATGAGGCGGTTGTGGGGAGGCAAGAGTCTTCTGGGATGGTGCCAGCCCAGGATTCCTGCCCTTGTGTCAGCAGGTTCCAGAGTGTGGTTGGGAGAGGGCCTGGCCATCCTCTATAGGCAGGGACACGGTCTGACAGCCACCCACTGCCTTCGCCTTCACCCACAAAGGCAACTCTGGCTTTCTCTCTGCTCACCCCCCACCCCCTCCATCAGCTCTGCCTTCAAGAATCTCCCACTCATTAGCACCTTGCTCAGCCACCATTATCTCACCTCCTCACTGGGCCCCAGCAGTCTCTACTTCCCCAGCAGTCAGAGGGTTCCTGTTAAAACACAAGAGAGACCAAGGGCCTCCTCTGCTCGCCATCACACTCAGGAAGGAAGACACTGTCCTCGCAAGGTCCTTCAACGCTTCACCTGGTCTGACCTCATCTCGGCTTCTCCTCTTGCACATTCTCTTCCAGCCTCGATAGTCTCCTTCCTCTTATCAAATGTGTCAGGCTTGTTCCCACCTCAGGGCCTTTACACTGACTGCTCCACCAGATATCTGCATAAATCACACCCTCACCTCCTTTAACTCCTTATTCAATCTCTCCTTCTAAAGAATCCGCACCCTGATCGATTGACTTAAAAATCATACCCCCCACATTCCTAATCCCTTACTGTGCTTTATTTTTTTCTCCATCACCTTGTAACAAACTGTATAATGCACTTAGCATTTTTTTTGATTATTGTCTGCCTCCCAAATCAGAACATAAGTTCAAAGAGGGTAGGGATATTTGCCTAGTTTGCTTACTGATGCTTCCCAAGTGCGGACATATGTGTCCACTAATGGGAGCTCAGGAAATCCTTGCTGACTGAGTGAGCCTGCTGCGTGCCGGGCCTGAAGCACGGGCTCTTCACATCCCCCCGCCGGGCATCTGCAGGCATCTCGTGCCCGATGTGCCCAAATATAACTCCCTATCTCTTTCCCATCTTAGGGGTGGTGCCATCACCCACCCAGTGACTCAGCCAGGGTCCTGGGTGTCATCACGTCTGCCACTCCCCTCAGCGAGTTCCCACCCACCAATTTAATTGGTCACCAAGTCCTGTTGAGTTTATGTAAATGGTGCTCCTTGAGTTGCACAATGTGGAAGCCCTTCCACATCCCAAAATAAAAACCAATCTCAAACCACTGCAATAAGGAGGAAATGCGCAGGCCATCCTACTGCAACTGCACAGCTCCACAGGGGTTTCTCCAGTAAGTGTGTGGACAAAAGCTCGCAGAGCATGCCTTCTCCTATGGGGCTTAGGAACCCTTCTTGAGCCAGAGAGCATCACTTCTTGATGGTCCCATCAGAAGCTACACAGTATTTAGATATTAAAAGAGAGTCTTTCCTTAGTTTGAGACAAAGAACTGATAAACAAAAAGATAAATTTTCTTTAAGTGAAAATGCCCAGTGTTGACAAGGATATGCAGCAACAGGCATTCTCAGCTGTGGTCAGTAGGAGTATACATTGGTAGTTTTTTCAGAGTACTAGCTATAAATAATCATCTAATTTAAACCATGTAACCCTGACCATCCTTCGGCTGAACTCATAAAGACAGCAATATCCTACAACCCAAGACTCCTTGGAGAAAGGAAGAACTGTCATCTGTAATCAGTCACCTTCTCCCTCCTTACCACTGTAAGCAGAAAGGCTGATGCCCTAGTGACACAGATCTTTGCTTTAAGATGGAGTCCATGCTTCCCCAGAGTTGGGGAGCAGCCAGGCCCAGCCATACAAACCTGACACCATCACTGTCTCCACCCTCCAGAGCTCAGCTGCTTAGGCACAGCACTTCTTCACCTGTGGGGATTTTCCCTCAGGAGCTCAGTGTCTCCCCACCCTATACCTTTGGGGAAGCTTCTCCCACAACTCCAGTCCACCAGACAAGACTGAACATCCCAGAGTCCTCAACTGCACATTGGAATTCATGATCTCTCTCTCACAGACACCTGGGCCATATGCAAATCAAGGAATGAGGTGGGGTACCTGTTCCAAGTCCCTGAACATTCCCTGACAGTGTCGAGTCTCTGCAACATTCTGTGAGTTAGGTGGCTGCTGCCCAGAGCTCTCAGAAGATGCTCCTGTGGTCCAGCAATCCCTTTCCTAGAGATTCATGGTAAGGAAATAAGACCAGCACGCAAAGAAGTAAATATAAGGATTTGCACTGCAGTGTTGTTTCTAACTATAAAAACTTGGAAATAATCTAAATGCCCATCAACAACGGATTGATGTAAATTAATTACATACCCATATAATGGGAATAATGTCAAAATGGGAAAAGATCTGGTTTGATGGCTGTTCTTCTGAAAAAGATTTAGGCATTTTTTGTTGATCATAAGTTTAATATGAACTGATGGCACTGATGTAGCTGATAAGCCAGTCATTAAAATGAATTAATAAAAAAGCCAGAAGCTAAAGTGGTCCTGCTGTCTGCTAAAGTGGTCAGATAACTGCAGATGATTGTGTGCTGTACCGACCTACCTCTCAGAGCTGGGATAGCAAACACAGACTTGTAGCTGCTCCCAGATATCTGCTCCTCAACTGTGGCAGACATCACTAATCGATCACAGGCACCCTCCTTCCACACAGCACTCCAGACAGCCGATCCCAGCTGGCATGAGAGATGAGTTTCATTTGCCAATTCCAAATTACAGTATGCAAAGTCTGGAAACCATCTCCCACCCAGAATCAGGACTGTTTGGCCAGGGGAAAGTAGCCCAAGCAGAGATAGGATCCCTTTCTTCAAGCCTCCAACAGGCTGATGAGTGGAGGACAGAGCAGATTTCTCCCTTGGTCAGGAGGTGGTGAGCTTTCTGTCACTGAAGGTGTGTAAGCTGCCACACCTCCAGACACCTGTCAGAGGTGAGGTACCCTGGTCAGAAGCCTTGACTGCAGGACAGCTAAGGGCCATGAAAATCTGCACTCCCACCCCAGCATCTTCTCCCCACCCTTCTACTTGTATTTTTTTTTTAAAGAATATTTTATTGTGTTTTAGGTGGAAGTTTACACAGCAAATTAGATTCTCATTCAACAATTCATACATGTTCCGTGACATTAGTTATAATCTCCACAATGTGTCAGCACTCTTACCATTTCCACCCCACCTGCCACATCCATCCAGCTTCTCTGTCCCTCCTTGCCTTTAGGTAAACGCTGACCATTTGGTCTCGTATAGTTGATTGTTTAAAGATGCACATTCCTCATGGGTGTTATTGTTTATTTTATAGGCCAACCTATAATTTGGCTGAAAGGTGACCTCTGGGAGTGGCTTCAGTTCCTGATTAAAAGGGTATCTTCGTGCGATAGTCTTCAGAGTTCCTCTAGTCTCTATCAGTCCATTAAGTCTGGTCTTTTTTTATGAATTTGAGCTTTGTTCTACATTTTTCTCCCATTCTAACTGGGACCTTCTATTGTGTCCCTGGTCAGAACGGTTGTTAGTGGTAGCCAGGCATCATCTAGTTCTTCTGGTCTCAGGCTAGAAGAGGCTGTGGTTCACATGGGCCATTAGTCCTGTGGACTGATTTCTTCCTTGAGTCTTTGGTTTCCTTCACTCTCCTTTGCTCCAGACAGAAAGAGACCAATAGTTGTATCTTAGATGGCTGCTCACAAGCATTTAAGACCCCAGATGCTACTCACCAAACTAGGATGTAGAACTAAGTTGTGATAATTAACCTAGTTGTCCCCCAAGACTATGTTTACTTGTATTTTTTTGCCACACTCAGGTCTCAGGCTCAAATGCTGCTTCCTCCAAGGGGCCACCATGTCTACCACAGCCCCATCTCATGCACTCCCTGTCACATGCTACTACAGGTAGTCCCCGATTTACGAGGTATTCAAGTTACAAGAAACTGCACTTATGGTCGTCTTCTTTTTTTTTTGGTACACCTTATCGTTAGTAATATATACAACATAGAATGTTGTATAGCACGTAATTTGCTGATGTTATCATTCTCAGATGTTCGCTCACAGATGTTCAAAGTTATGATTTATAAAGATACTGATCATAAAAGGCAATAATAATGAAAACTAAAAAAAAAAAAAATGAGGTACTTGACTTACGACAGAACCGACTTACGACAGAGTCATTGGAACGGAACCCCATGGTAAGTCAGGGACTACCTGTATCTTGTTTTTCTCATAAACTTATCTCCGTGCAGATCACCTGGAGTGTCTGCGTGTGTGTGGTCCATCCGCCCCACTGGCTCCATGAGGAGCAGGCTAGTCTGTCGCCCCCAGGCCGGCACAGAGATGCCATACAGAGCCCTACTGAAGGAAGGTCTATGCAGGCTGGGACTGCATGCCTTGTGGCAGATGCCGTGCAAAGGCGTGTGAGATCAGGCCCCAGGAGCTGGGACAAGCAACCTCTACATCAGCCTCCATATCACAGGAGAGCTTGGGGACGAGGCAGAGGGACCCCAAAAAGGCTGCTCTGAGTAGAGAGGTCCTAGAAACACACTTGGGTCCCACAGGCCCAGACAGTGGCAGATGCCACGTCCTGACTCTAGCTGGGGAGTGAGTCAGGACTGGGGGGTGAGGAGGGAGGCCCTTGGCCTCTTGGGCCATGGATGTCTCTAATTATAACCTCTGAAGTCATGAATTACTTTTTTCAAGAAAAATGTTAGTCAGAGGACGCTCTGGACATAGGCGAGGTGACACAGCTGAAGCAGAGACCTACTGTCATGGGGTCAGTTGTTCACCCCAACGATGACGGCGATGACAATAGCTCACAGCTACATAGCTAGTGACGGGCCAAGCTTTACATGTAACTCTTCTAATTCTTGCAACCACCCTTTGAGGCAGGCACTGTTAACATCCCTGTTTCACAGATGAGGAACCAGGCATGGAGAGGTTAAACCCGTGCCCAAGGTCATACAGCGAGCCAGTGAGATCGGGACACAGGCAGTCTGGTTACAGAGCCCAAACATTTACCCACTACACTTACATAACTTAGTGAAAATAAAAATACAGCTTTGGATTATGCAGCAGCAACTCTTCTCCATCAACCTGCCAGGTATGAGGTGCCATGTTGAGTGTATATGGCCTATAGTCCAACCAGCACCCCTAGGAGCTAGGCTGCAGTCCCTTCTGCCGATGAAGACACTGAGGCTCAGTGCAGTTAGTCACTGGGCCAAGGTCACCCACACAGGAAAGAGAGGGGCTGGGACTGGACCCAGACCTGGAGCTTTGACACTTGGCTCCCCAGAGGAAGAGCATGCTATAGACATGCTGGGGGCAGGGCTAGGCCCAGGGATGGGGGTCTTGGGGCAGGCGTGGTACTGAGATAAGTGAAGCTGGGCTGTATGTGGCCAGTCGTGGCCCTATCACATGGTGAAGCCACCCTCTTCAGAGGGGCCAGACCCATGGTGGAGGAAGTAGGCGGTTGGAAAGCCTGCCTGTGGTTAAATGTCCACGCCAGGAGCCTCAGTCCAGGCTCCTGGCTGTCTGCACAGACCAGAACAAAACAACCTCTCCTGAAATACTTACGTCCCTCACGTCTTCAGGCCTCATGGCCTCCTTGCACTCTGCTCTCAGGGTTTCTAATTCCAGAAAGGGAGTCTAGACCCAGGGCAAGGGGGACTAGTTCCCAGAAGCCCTGGTGCTGCCCTGCCCCTCACAAGCTCCCTTGTGGGGCCTTCTGTGGCTCCTCACTGCCGAGGCCACATTAACCTAGGTTTCTTATATTACCCAGAACAGGGAAGGGGACAGTCTTGCACTACTCTAGGATGTGTCCTGTGTTCAACTCTAGGCCACAGCCTGGGGGAGGAGAGGGACAGGGACAGACAAAGGAAGGGCCTGGGGAAGAGGTGAGGGTGGGGAAGGACTGGCGACCCTGTCCTCTGAAAAAGAGTCTGGATGGCTCAGGCTGGGGAAGGGCAGCCTCCGGACCTGCCACGACTCCCAAATCTCTGCAGGGCTGTCCTCGGACAGAGGGAGCAGGGGAACCTGTGGGATCAGAGGCAGGGCAAAGGCCTACATGGGAGCTTCAGAAGGTAAAAGTTTTTAACAGTTTGAGCTATTTGGGAAGGAGTCACCTTAGGTAATGCAGATGTTCAAGCAGGGCCTGGAAAAGCAGTCTTTAGGGATTCTGTAGCTCGGATGGGTCACCATACACACACACTCACCCACTGTGCCATTTGGGAGCCCTCATACAAGCTCAGCACACGTATTTAGTCCCTACAACGATCCCATCAAAAAGCACTGCTCTTCCCATTTTGCAAATGAGAAAATCGAGGCTCATAAACAGCGGTCTGTCAGATCACAGAACTCCAGGCTATCCTCCCAATTCTTCCCACTCTGTTAGATTCTACAAGGGCTGTGGAAAGTTCCCAGACCTGGAGGCAGCCCCCAAGGGCTGGCCTACCCCAAAGAGCAGAGAACAAGGACACAAATGGTGTGGAATTAGAGGGAAAAGTGGGTGGAGGGGGGGATGGGAGGTGGGCTTTGCACTCCCTGAAAAGATTTAGGGCATGATGTGACATTGACCTAAACACCCAACATGACTGGCTGACCAGGAGCACCAGATCCAAAACAAGGGAGATGGTGATCTTTCCAAATAATCCAGAAATTATCCCCACAAGGCTTGGGGAGGGGGGTGGTGGGAGGGTCAGGGGAGTTTCTGCTTTTACGTAGTTCCCAAATTTGCTTTAATGAAGATATACAGTAATCACAAGGAACAAAACAAACCCAACATCCAACTGCCCACACATCCTCTCCCCTTTGATGACAAGCAGCCATCTCAAAGGCAGGCTCAGAACTCCTGAGCCCCCACCAGGCGACCTCCCCCAGGTGAGCTCCCCGCAGCAGCTGTCCCCACCTCAGCTGACAGCAACTCCAGCCTTCCAGCTGCTCAGGCCCATCATCTCAGAGCCACTCTCGGCCACTCTCCTTTTCTTACACCTTGCTTCCAATCTGTCAGCAAATGGGGCTGCCCTGCCTCCAAAATACAGCCAGCACCTGACCACTCCACCCACCACCACCAGCCTGCTCGGAGCTGCCTGCATCTTGTCCTCGTCCTGGCATTATAGCTACAGCCTCTTCACTGGTCTCCTCTTCTGGTCTCACTCACCCCCACTCAATACAGCTGCCAGGATCCTGTTAAAACACAACTCTAACCAGGTTCCCCCACACCCCGCTTGCTCAGCACCCTCCCAGGGCTCCCACCTCACTAGGATTTAAAGCCAAAGTCCTCACAATGAGCCAGGAGACTCTACAGAACCCGGCCATTCCTCCCGCTACTCTCTGGCCCGGCTCCCCAGCCCCATGGCCACCCCGCGCCCACCACGCTCGCCTCCTGCGTGCTCTTCTACAGGCCTGGCACAGTCCTGCTTGAGCCTGCACACTTGCTCTTCCTCTGCCCGGTATGCTCTTCTCCCAGAGGGTCACATATCTCTCTCCCTTACCTCCTATGGGTCTTTGGTCAAAGGTCATCTGAGTCTCAGCCAAAGTATTCCCTGACCTCCCTTCTTAAAAGCTGTGCCCCCCTCCCCAGACTCCGTATCCTCCCTTGCCCCCTTTTCTGTTGCCCTGGTCACCACCATCCTGCTCTCTGTGGGTGACGACTGTCTGGCTTCAACTAGACTGTCAGACCTGGGAGGTTGGGTCTCCTGAACAGTGTCTGGCACACAGAAGATGCACACACACCAAGCCACTCTGACCAAGCCAGGGAGGCCTTTAAACAAAACCAAACCAAACCTAGCATCTGGAGGGCTGCTCTCTCTCCCGTGTGGACCCTAAGGCCTGGGAGAGCAGGAGGCTGGACCAGGGCTGGGCACCACTCATACACAACAGTCAGACCTCTGCCTGGCTGTGAGTGAGGCTCAGACCCCGGTTGCGGGGGTGGGATAGGGAACCAGATACCCAATGCCCACCGGAAGTTAAAACTGCAACACAGAAAATTCACATGAACGTAACTAAGAATTGCCTAGGAGCAGGTTTTTAGAATACGAAGGCCAGAAACTTATGCATCCTCCCTGACCATCAGGCTCAAAAGGGCCAAGGGCCCCTCTGGACACAAACCCCCTCTCACCACCCTTAGGAGCATGGTAGCCAAGTGACAGGCACGAGATAACTTCCAGAACTGGAAGATCCTCAGCAGGCCTAGTCCCCAAACTGAGCTGCTCCCTCAACTTATGAGGGCAGACCTAAAGTGCTCAAGAATTCAAAAGTTCAGAAACTACTCTTAAAAGAGTCCCAGGTGATTGTGATACATGACCTGTCAGAATCCCATAACTGCCAAGCCCTTCCATTGTACACATGGGGAAACTGAGGCCCTACGAGGAGGGGAACCCTGCCCAAGCTCTGCAGGAGGTCAGCAGCTGATAGAGACAAAGCCTGGTCCTCCTCTCTTCCCATAGCCCCATACAACCTGCTGCAGACACCCACTTGTGGGCAAAGGTGCACACTGGTGGCATAGAGCCTGAGTCCAGCCCA